ATTCCAAAATCTTATTTCAAATTTATCTGGACCTTTAGTCTGTTCATAACTTTCTAAAATCAAAGTTTTAATCATCTTTTTGCTGTTTATTCCCCCTCCCTCCAAATTTAAGTTCTTAAACTTGTAGTTAACGCTTCTTTCACTAAGGATTGAAGGAAACTCACTTGGTACAATAAAACCTGTCAATCCAAAGGTTCCTAATAGCTGAAAATCAGTTAACAAGCAATTTCCAAAAGTGATTAGCAAATATGCAAACTTAGTGTCTTTTCAAAGGTGCCAACCACAGTTTGAGCAAGATGGCTACTCCCCCATCTCACAGAGCTCTAAACATGCTAGAGACCACTATCTTGCATTCTCCTCACAAGGAGCAGCTGTCTAAAGCACTTGATCTCAAGTCCTCTCTTTGTCCAGAGATGAATTGTCAAAGAGCTGGTCAACTCACTGGCTCTTCATTTTGCTGCGGTCATCAGTTCCACTTTTCACGGAGCCGTCTTCAGTCTGCCATTTCTTCCCCAGAAGTCCCACATATCACAACTTTTCCACCAGTTCCATTGGAAATACTCACACAAGCCCTATTCCTCTGAAGTGTCTCCAGACTCACCAGATAATGATCACCAAAAAGAAGACTCCTTGCTATCTGCCATACTGATCTCTCCAGTTGCTGTTGCTGGGCAACAAGAGAGGGGAAGACACATTCAAGCTTTGTGTAAATGTTCCATTTTAGACTTATTTGTTGACCTTTGTGAGCTACCTGGCCTAACTTCACTCATGGGAGGGGGGAGTGACTGATGGGGGAGATGACATGATGGAATATGGGCTTTAATCAGAAAAGGAGGAGGGAAATGCCTGGTTATTACAGAAAAGATATCTGAGGTCTTGGGAACTTAGAAAGCAAGAGAAAGAAATTCAAAACAACTCTGCCTTGATTGTGTTAGATATAAAATGAAGTAGAGAGGGGCTTTGATAGGCTTTCAAGATTATGCTACTATACCCTAGCCACATTAAAATACAGTCTAAGACTAATCCTGTTTCCTGACTTGCCAACCTTAAGGACTGACAATCCCATCATTTTTGCAATTACATGTTATTACATTTTACCTCCCAAGCTATTCATAACAATCTTAAACCATTAGGAGGAGGATTTTTTTATTTGTTTGTTTTGAGATGAGGCCAGGGTTGTCACCAATATACAGATAACCAGGTTTCTCATTTTTGTTAAATTCAACTGAGGCAGTAAATGTTCTGAACCAGTATTTAATTGCTGAAAAAGGGCCAGTTAACTGAGATTTCATCTAGACAAGATGGAGATACTGTTGGTAGGTGCCTTGTCTACTCAGCTGAACGGTGCTTAGACATTTCTTCAATGAATTAATTAACTAGATTAATTGTTTGTAAATGTTCTTTTGGATACCACATATTCAAGGAGGCCCATATGGTTTCTTGAAGCAAAGCTTTTTTTAACTTCTTAAATTGAAATACTAATTACGATCGTGTAGGCTATGGTCATAACAATCTACAATTATTCATACTTCGGTTACCTCTTATTGGAGTTATTGCAATGTATTACCTACTCTTCCTATTGACTTGGCTATGAGGGGATGCTTTGAGTCCCCCACCATGTGGAATGGGCACAGAAATGATGCGGGGGGGGGGAATAAGCACAGAAACAACCATCTGTGGAAATCCTTTCTCTTTGGAACATATTGCCCCTGAAATTCATAGAACCCTCACACTTCTGTCAGAAATAAGTTCACCAGCACTCACATTTCTTATAGGGCATTTGGAATATAGAACTGTAACAGATAATTTTTACCGGTAAAAGTTGCTTATGGTGTTTGTTATTTATGTTATATTAATATGAATATTTTTGTTATTTTATCTTATTAATGTAAAATGTCTGGAGTCTTGGGAGTAGTATGAGGGCTTGGTTATACGTTTTAGTAATAAATTATTACTAAATAAATACTAAAATAAACAATTATATGTAGTGATGCTACCTCTGAAATTAGTCCAGAAACCAGCTGGTCGAAGATAAGCCAGAGGGTTGTTCACAGAGACTATAGTGTTTGTTCATATGACAGTCCTTTCTGATTTCACTTTCAGTTCATTTCTGAGCCCAATTTGAAATGTAGCATTAACTTTTAAAGTCCTAAATGGTCTGAAGATCCTACTAAACTATTAGCTCTTTCCAAAACATTTTGTCAGTGAAAGTAGGAAAGGTTGTTGGAAATAAGAACTATTTTAGGAAGAACTTTCCATCCCTTAAAAACTCCATAGGGAGGCCACTGATGTTTTTTTGAAGCCAGTTAGTACCATCACACTTCATTAGCATGTCTAGCATCCATTATATCTTAATGCTAAAATAAACTTCAACTTTTCAGGTTTAGCGGTAGATATGGTCGTAAAGAAGTAAGTAGCAAAAGAAAGCGTAAAACCAAATTTTCAGAATGGAATAAAGGGAGAGACATGTCATCACATTAAACAGTTTAGATAGAATGGGCTATACTGTTGATAAATATGATATGTTACAGATTAAAAAGGGCAATGACTGGATTTTAATTTACTAATGTGGGTGTGAGTAATAACATAATAAAACATTCAATTTCTGTAGAAAGTTAAAAGGAAATCATTGCCTGTTTATTGGTTCATTTTGTAAATTGAGATCAATAAAATTTCTCCAAGAAAAGCATGAAATCAATTGTTAAATAGCATATAACTTGTGATCCTTAGAGTAAATTGTAGTTTATTTGACATGAATCCATGAGACTTCCATATTCTGAGCTGCCTTTCTTTTTAAGGCATCTCTAGATAATTTTTGTAGAACCATTTCTAATACATCTTAGAATTATCTGTTTTTCATGTCCACAACTGCCTGCATTTGCTCTTATGCAAATAATCCAATCAAGCAAATGGAAAACAAGAAGCCATAATCAGGAGGGCTTGACAAACAGTAACCTTAGAGTTTTAGGGGAGAGCCCAGGATTTAGATTTATGTTCCTACCTGCATCTGTTGAAGCAATTGATCCATTATGAAGCACTTGAATAGGTCAATTTCCGACAAGCAGTATAAATTGGATCAGATGTGGCAAGTAATTGATGCTGGTTTGATTTAAATGTGTGGTTCCTGTAGTTCATTGCTGGTAGAAATCAACCTGGGCTGTTGAAACATGTTAAAATCCCTGTCTCCTATTCTTTACTTATCATGCTGTGTTTGAAAAGACATCAATGGATTTCTTTGATATCTGCAGATACAAGTCTCTTTTTTTCTCCTGCTTTTATTTAAAATGAATGATGGAAGTGGCAGCAAGTTGTTGTTGTTGTTAATTTTTTAGTGCATTATGAATAGGAACAAGAGTCAGAAGCTGCTGGGAAGAAACTGCTCTGATTCCCACATTTAAAATCTGTCATCTACCTCTAAAATTAATTTGAACAATAGCAGTTGAAGACCATGGGCGGTAGGCAGAGGATGTTAAGGGTAGAATAGGAGAGGTTGTTCTTCCATTCCCATCCTTAAAATCCTGGGGGGGAAATATGAAAAAAATTAGCTCTGACTCTCCGCTGACATCCCCATATCACCAAATGATGCCTTGCACTTCCTGAAATGTCAAAAGGCTGAGTTGTGGTGCACAACCCTTCAAACGTTATCTGCTTCTGGTGTATGATAAAAAGCAATATAGGATGAGAAGATGTTAAAACATACCATAAATGGTCTGGTTTGTAAAAGTAGGCATATCAGGGCTGCAAAAATCTGGATAACCACTAGATGGTAGCACATGGTTAGAGCTTTTTATCTTGCCTTGCTGCCATCTAGAGGTTGTCCAGATTTTTGCAATCTAGATATAATAGTTCTACTAAAAGTATTAAAAGGGAATCTGAAAGGACTTAAATCTAGGATATCAGAACACTGCAATGTTGAGAAAAGAACCCTGTGCTGGCATCTGACTTTTGGTATAATAATGGGGACAATGTACTACATGTACTTCTTTATTGTTATTACTAAAAGTTCAGTTTTCCTTTCCTTTTTTTTTTTACCTAAATATATTGTATTATTAAATATGTCAGTTTTTAAATGACTTTAAAGGAGAACAGCCATAGATACTTGGCAGGATATATAGTTAGCACCTAAAGTTGATAGATTTCCTCCTAAGTATCTTCAGACAGTGCTGAAAATCCCCATCTGAAATTCTGGAGAGCTTGGTGTGCGGAGTCTTCCACGATATAATGTATGCTATCCAGACTACAGACAACTGAGCAGAGATGAGTGATTGGTCAATTGGAAGCCAACCTGAACAAACCACCAATCAGGAACCAACACCACCAAAACAACCAATCAGGATTGGGCACAAACAAAGAACCAATGAGAGATCAGCCCTCACCAACCTGCACCAATCAGAAGCCAGCTCAGTTAAAGACCAATCAGCAGTCAGGACACCTGGCTATAAAGGCAGGGTTCCAGTCAGTCCCTGCTCAGTTGCCTGTGGTTTGCATAGTAGACCGCCTTGCCTCTGAAGATGCCAGCAAAATGTCAGGAAATCTGTTGTTTAGACCACGGTCACTAAAACCTGAAGCCTAGCACTGCCCAAGAAATACTAGCCATGAAAGCCTACATCAGTATATAAAAATTAATTTATCTATTTATTCTTGTTATTAATTATGTGTATTGCTATGTTTTCTACATTATATTTTTGACTATAATTCAGAAACTATATTTTTATAAGATTGGTAACTCTATTGACATTTATGATATCCTAATTTTTGAAAAAAATATACAGAGATATGGTAGATAAATATTTGCTAATGCTTTATTAAATCCAAACAGGGAAATTAATCTTCATACCTATTGTTCCCTTTTTGTAGATTTAAAAACTTTTACAGAATACCAGTTTTTTATCTCTGCCTGCACAATTGTTGGCTGCAAAAACAGTACCCAGGTCACTGTGCTTACAACAGAGCTCCCACCAGTTCATGTGGATGTGCCAGACCTGATAGTTTTGGATTCTAGAACAATAGAAGCACAGTTAAGTAAAATGTTTCCTCTTTTTCCCCAGTAGTGTTGGAATGGGGTAGTCTTGGCTAATAGAATAGCTTTCCTCTTGAGTTCTTGTTCTGGGCACCACAGTTAACTCTGCCCAGTTCTGGATCCCACAGTTCAAAAAGTCATTGACAAATTGGAGCCAGTTCAAAAGAGGACTGCCAAGTTGGTGAAGGGTCTGGAAACCAACCCCTATGAGAAAGGGTTAAAGGACATAAGCCCAAAGTCCCTTTTCTACCTGCGACACATATAGTGTCAATTTATGCAAGAATCCTAGGGAATTCAATCATAAATAAGGTCTGCGACATATATTTACTATGATTAAATGCACAGAAGTGATTAGTATAGTGGCTCTGTAAATCTTTGATTACCATTTGCCAAGTTAATTTTCATTAGTCTTTATGCAATCAGTGTAACCTACATATGGCCATAGCCTCAGTGCAAACAGTGGTACAGGAAGAAGGGTTTGTGATATGATCAGGATATAATTTTCATCCTAAACATAATGTCAAAATAATTTGGGCCCCAGCTACAGATTTCAGATTAAAAAGTTTTCTATGTTGCTTCATTTGTTCTTCAGTACTTACCCAAAATTGCTTGATGATTAGATTAGCTTTCACTCTTTAAGTAAACATCATATATTCCCCCACTACCTTCTTTATTTGTTGTACAATTATATGTTGATTCTTTTTTTAGGTGGAACACACCAAAGGAAGTGAATGGAGTGGTACATAGATACATTCTGTACATTGCCAAGAAAGAGAAAAATGTTATAGTTTGGGATACAATTTATAACTCTACAGATCTTTTTCAGAACTATACTATACAAGATCTTTCCCCTGGTACTGAATACTTCATCAAGTTAGCAGTAAGTTGGGAAAAATAATAATATGACAGCTGAGCAAATGATAGCTTCTGTATGTGTGAATCTGTCTTTTCTTTTATCTGTTGTGATGGAAGTCAAACTGGTTAACTTTTCTTATAGCACATTAAAGGAAAGGAATAAATTGAATGTTTGTTTCAAAATAGGTATGAGGAAAATCAAATTTTCTATTACTCAAATCAAATGGGATCACAGAGACAAAAAGGATTTGGCAATTCGGTATATAAGAATCATGGTGGGAACAAGCAGATCTGAAAAATTGGCTCCATTTTACTTCCTCCTTTAATGAATCAGGTATTCTGGCCTGCTTATTAATAAACAAAATGTAGATTTATATCCTGCCTTTCATTCAAGACCTCAAGGTGGCATACATAGCTTTGCTTCCTCCTATTTTTCCCAAAACAGCAACACTATGAGGTAGGTTGGACTGAGAGAGAATGACTGGCCCAAAGTCACCCAAAACCTTCTGTGGTTGTGGATGGGCTACAACATGGGTTTCCCTGCTTCTTGTCCAACATGTTTAACCAGAATGCCATACTGGTACATTTTTTTCCAACAAAAAATAGTTTAAAATCCATTGAACCCATTTAGGGGATTGCATTCATATTATGAATGAAATATTCAAGATGTCGCCAGCCTTTTTTTTAATATGCAAATATCACAGAGCTCTTACCTGAAAGTCTGTCTCTTCCCCAGTTGATCATGCACCATGGCAGCTCCTATAAACAGACTGCAATGCCTAGGAGTCTCCTAACAGAAGCCTTTTTTTCAGCAGTTCTACTTTCTGGTCTTCCCAAATGACCTGCAATGGAGCATGATCACCTGGTAATTCCAGGAAGTGCTGGTAAACAGGTTTAAAGATTTTGAAAAAGGAGAGAGAAAATCTATTAGTAACCTTGTAAACATAATAAAGTGGGGTTTTTTAAAAAAATTTGTTTTTAATTCGGAAATGCAATGCCTGTCGATGTCATGTAATGATAGGGTTAATTAAACCAAAGTAGAAAAGAAAAGAGTTGCTCCCACCACATTATGCAGCAGAATTCTTTTGCATCATTGACATAGAAACCTCCTCACCTCAATAATAAGGCAAATCCCATACCAGACCTTTGAAAATAGGGATTTGAGTTTGATTTACCTCCTGTTGGGCTCACATCCACCACAATAATTTCCTGTCACTTCTGCCTCTTATTTCATCATTCCAAACCAGTTTCCAGTTACTCTCTTACTAAGATACGAAGTGTCCAAGGCTCCCTAGAAAAGCAGTGTTCTCTAAACCTCCTGGCTCCAAGAACTCTGGAGGTTCATTTTTCAAGAGCCTGCAGCCCATTCAGTATTGCTACTACCACTTTCTTGTAGGAAGGAGAATAGGAAAAGATGTCCTAAAATCAACTGACATGTACTGTAGGTCTGGAGAAAGGAATGGGGTGATCAAACAGTAGGGTTAGGGCAGCCGTGACTTTTGTGTCTCTTGAGCCAGCTAGGGATGATGAAAATTGTAGCTCAACAATTGGAGGATCATACTGTAGGTTCCCAACTTCAAGATAGAAAATTCCCAGGAAGATTTGGTGGAGAAAGATTTGTGAGACTTATGGATGTACTCAGAAATACAGTCATTAAAATGATCATAAGAAAAGCGTAAAAACTGAGTTGCAAACTATAGGGATCCAAACAGTGTTCCTTACATCAAGGAAGATGATAAATGACCATTCTCTCTCTCTCTCTCTCTCAGTTCTGCTCCTCTGTAGCTCCCCACAATGGTGAACATGTGAAAATAGAAGGAAAAAACATTTATTGCAAACTAGAAGCACTTAAAAATGTCTTTTAAATGTCATTGCTATTATTTTGTGCAGTCATTTCCTTTTATTTTTTGATTAAAGAACAGTTTAAGTTCCATGATACAACTGAAAATATCTTGAATATAAACATGAGATTGTCCCTATTTGTTTTAAACACTCTCATCATTTTATAGTAATACCTATATAAGGACATTTGCTTTGATAAATGCCATAGAAAATATTCTGCTCTTGATTATGAATACATTTACATTTATGTGTAGACACTCTGTATGCATTCATTTTGCTCAACATGCTCTTGAATGCTCTAAATATTGTACCAGATTATACCACAAAGAAAATAATCTACCTTCCAATAACAATAAGGCTTTGATTCAAAGTCCAACTGAGCAAAGACCTTCAAATTAATTAAGTATGACTTGGAATCCACACTGATAAAATCTGTCCTCTATGTATTTTAGCACAGAAACCTATAACAGTTAACAGAATCCTCTGTTAATTTTCTAACTACTTAATTCAACTTTTACATGCCACCCATTACCATCCTTGGCTCTAAGCAGCTTACAAGTATTCATGAGAATAATTTTTGTTATTGTTTCTTTTTACTGTTTCTTTGTAAGAGGAACCAATGGAAGTTAGAAACAAGGGAAGAATTTCAGTGCAATAATGATGGAACTGTGGTTGTGGCTTACCTCAACTGAGTTTATAATTTTTTTAAAAAAACAATAACACTGACTTTTCTTAGCAATTTGACTTGGAATGTAACTGTTGAGGCAGCAAATTAATTTCATAGCACAGGGTTGTTGTTTTTTTTCCCCCCAAAAGCAGCCCCTAGATGAACTGGGCTGATCTCAGAAGCTAATCAGGATCAGCGCTGATTGAATTAGGGGGTAACTGCCCTGAATGGGGGACCACCCAAGAATTCCAGGACTAGACTAGGAAATTTGAAAAAAAAACATATTCCAGAAGTAGTCAATGGCAAACTACTTCTCCCAAGAGACCTGTGTGAATGCAGTTGCCAAGAGTTGAGTTTAACCTTTCATAATTCATCCCCCTGAGATCCAGACAGCTCCCACCCTGAAGACGTTCAGGAAAATCTTAAAACCCTGGCTGTTCTCCCAGGCATTGGGGTAGGGGGGGATAGAACCCCCTGTTGTTAGAGGTGATTGACAGGCAGCCCTTCTCTTTAGAAGTCAGGATACCCTCGGAGTTTAGCCAATGACGGTTTTGATTTCTATTACACCACTGCATTTGCATAGGTCTCATGTTCTAGGTGGCTGTGAGAGTAATTTTTAGTTAATGTCTTAGAGCTGTTATCATATACCTAGAAAATAGCATATCTCTTTAAATGCCACTAGGAATATACATTGAAAGAAATTCAAATACAATTCCTCAGGCATGGCAGTGATTTCTGAACCATTGCCAAGGCTACTTATTGTCCAAAAGACCTGTTTAAGAAAAAGAAATGAAATTCAGTGCAAGATCCCAAATCAGTATGCCACTCCCTTAAATTTACTAGCGTAGCCTTTCCAAAACTGCTGCACTCCAGATGTGTTTGATTGCATTCCCCAAAATTCCCAGCCATCATACTGAACACATCCAGAAACTTCAAGTAATGGGTGTATATGGAGCAGTGGGCAAAAGATGAAATATGTGTGATCACTTCATCACCTAAATGCTGCAGCTGGCAACTTAATGTTTGATATATACATACCTTTGTAATAATGGCATTCGTCTGATCATGTCACTTTGTGTGTGTGTGTGTATGTGTGTCACCATTCTGGTATCATCATGGCTTGCTATAGATGCTAGAGCACCAAGTTCCTTAAGTCTTCTCTAACATCTTTGTGTAGAGAATGGAATTTTGATAGCTATAATTTCTTAGCATCTGCAACCCCATATTGTATGCTAATTATCTGGCTTTCATTGCCATGCTTTGCTATCTGCATTTCATCTTTTCCTACCCTTGTTCCCCAGATTTTTCTCAAACACCTTCTTGGCTCTTAAAGCAAGAGATGCCTTCTTTTACACACATCTTTGTCCTCTGCTTGTCCTTCATAGTGGAATTCCAGTTTGGGCCCACAAGGACTGAAGTTTTAACAGTTGAACTGTTCCATTGCTGCCTCTTGTCTTCTTGTATTGATTTCTTAGGTGAAGACATCATCTCCCCATTCCTTAGCACTTAGGTCTGCATATAAGCATATTCCCCTAAAAAGCGATGTAAGATGCAAGATACTCTTAGGTCTTTTTTATCCACTAATCTCTGGAAGTGTGACTAGGAATGTGAGAATCAGCGAAAAGACTGTTTACTTTATGGCTGAGATTAGTTGAGCAGAGTTCTGAACAAACATGTATTTCTATGACTAAGAAAAATCTGAAGAAAATTCTCTACTTCTGTTCTCACTTTGTATTTACCACCATCGAAATTTATATAATTGTTAAAATGATCAAGAACCTTTGAAAATGCAAATCACTCTACTATCATTCTTTGGCATGCAGTTTTTTCTCATGACTCTTTTAAAAACTGTGTGTATTTGTATGCAATTTTCAGTGGCAGTTCCTTCTTCACAGAAGCTTTTGAGGGCAGAATGTTTTTATGCAGAAAGATGAATGCTGACTGGACTGCCATTCATAAAGCGATGAAATGTAGTGGGAAAGAGCCCAAAGTCAGTGGTTGGTTGGTTGGTTTTCCATCAGCAGATTGAGTATAGCTGACAATATATCAAATTCAACCTATGATTGTGTAAGGTAAGGCTTGTCCAAATCTCATGTGTGTTTGAGCATACGCTGAAGAGTTGCTAAGACTTGCCTTGTCCACCACTTGATTTTTCCAAGAAAACTTAGCAAGGGCAGATCTTGCATCAGTGTGCATATAAACATTATTCCAAAGTGCACCCGTTGACAGGCATGGTCCAGCAAGTGAAGGATTTGGCCAAGACATGTAATCCTGCTAACTCATAACATGGAAGGGGAACTAATTTGACCAGCTGGTTTTTAAGAAGGAAATTTAAAAAAAAACAAAAAAAAACCAGGCCTCAAAAATGGCATGAACATGACATGGAAAACACCTCTTCAGTTATGTTGTGATTGTGAAGAATCCATCACTAGGATTGACTAATGTCGTCTTAAGCAAGTGTGGTGTAGTGGTCAGAATGCATGGCTATGAATCAGGTGATCCAGGTTCAGACTCCCATTTTGCCATGAAGGTCTTGGGTAACTTTAATGTAGGTATTCTCTTAGTTTATGATGATGTTAAAATGGAGGGAAGCAATATACACACACACACACACACACACACACACACACCAGTTGGGATATCTGCATAAAAGGGAATATGAAAGCCACAAAATAATAACAATATATCAAGACAGCAATCCTAAATCTTTATTTAGGAGTGGGCCCTGTTGAATTAGTAGGTACATTTTTTAAAGCATTTTCCTTCCAGTTTTCAACTGTAAAGTTTCCTAAGGGGAACAACAACAAAGACAGTCTTTGCTCTTCAGCTTACAATCTGAAAGACACAATTCCAAAGGGAAAACGAATAATAATGGATGCTGGATGGGGGGGAAGCAAATTTAGGCAGCATACTTTAAAGTTATTGGGTTCTTGGTGTCCCCTGAGCTTGCTTTTCTTCTTGCAATTACCAGGCTTTTCTTCTTGTTTCATTACCAGGCTAGGTGACAACATCAACTCAGAGAACACTAGGAATCCAATGACTGAATTCTGAGCTACATATATTCTCCACTAGTTTAATTCTAAATCAATGTGAAGTAATGTACTCGAAGGAGAGAAGCCTGATGGAGCTGGTCTTTCAGCAAAGAGGACCCCCAGGAGCCAGTCCCTTTTTTACTACAGCCCAAGGAGAACATATAGGATTTTGCTTTTAGGAAGCTTCAGCTGAAGATGCTTGTAGTTTCCACTCTAATACTTGAATGCAAGTATACACCTGACATGTTATAATTATACGAAATATAAAAAAAGTAGCAAACTGTGTTAGTGACTTAAGAACTAAAAACAAAGATCTGGAGGGAAAAGACTTTGAAAGGGAAAGTTAGACTTGATTCCTGGTGACTACATGGACTAAGGGGATTGGCAACAGTGTGGAAATGGTTTGTCATTTCCTCCTTCCAGGATGTTTTTCCACTTCCTAGTCAGGTCTAGAGTCTTGGGATTTCCTAGTAGTCTTCCCTTCAAGTAATAAAAAGATCTAACCCTGCTCAGGTTTTTCAAGATCAATCAAGGTTGGCTAGGTGCTGCCACCTAGCTAAGCTCAGAAAAGAAACGTAAGTTTTAGTATGTTTCACCTACTCCAAAGAACCCCAGCAAAATAAAATAAATCTTTTCCCCCTCCTTGATGGAGAAAAGAAGCAGTCTAGACATTTTTACATCTCTGTCCATTCCATAAACAAATTTTAGTGCCCCCTCCCAATGTAATGTGACACCCAAAAGTGTTAGAAAATGTTAATAAGCGTATGACTATAGACATTAATGTCCTAGATACTTCAGTTCTGCTTGTTTTCACAGAAGAAACTGACCCTGTTCTACAGGAGTCTTTTTCATGCCAATGCCTTTTTCTTAGGTTCCTGGATGGTGGTTGATACGTATGAATGTTAGCAGCAGGACTTCTACATAACAGCCATCCCCTCTGGAGGGGTCTGTTCTTGAGAGAGAGTCTTGGAATGATTATAAGTGAAAAGCATTCCTCACAAACAGACATAAGACTGCATTTAGAAATAAATTACGTTGCTTTGAGAGCTAAACATATGAAATGAGTAGATTTCTTTTCTGAATAGCATACGCTGGGGATATGTTTCATGCCAGGTTTTAGCATTGGTCTCTCTTTCAAAGGCCTGCACTGGAGGTGGATGTACAATCAGTGAAACTACTTCAGTAAAAACAATGAAAACTAACCCAGAAGGGGCTCCAGCACCGAAAGTCCAGTCATATTCCCCTGACTCCTTTAACATCTCATGGACTAAGCCCGAGTACACGAATGGTGAGTGAACTGTTTTAGCCTCAAGTTAAAAAGATGATTAGTAAAGGTAAATTAATATTCTAAATGGCAGCTTATATGTGGTGCTTAATTTTTAATGATCATTTTGGCACATAAAATACTGCGATGGTATCATTGTCTACAGCTTGGAGATTGAAGTTTTCAGTCCTGTTTTGCTGTTTCAGTGGCTCAAAAGTGCTCCCTTTTGATGGTTCTCATGAATTGCATTCTCTTATTTAATGCTTTATGGAACAATTGAACTGAAGGCTACTGTCTGAAATCTCTTTTAAACATCTTGATTTTCTTTATGGCATATTATTAGTTTTGACTTTTAAATATATCCAGCCATTAGTTTTGTATCTGTAGATTTTAAAGTGCTTGTGAGGAGGGAAATAACAGGTAGGGAATCATGGTGTTTGACTATATGTATCTACATGTAAAATTGTGATATGGTCTTTCCTTTTCTTTTAATAATCTTATCAGAGTGCAACTGGTCTTGTCAGTGAGATTGTCAGAGGCAGCCAAAAAGCTACTGACTTTGGAGTATTGGATAGACCTAGAATTCAGATCAATTTCCTCTGAGCCATATTTACTGTACCCCATTTTATGTAGAGAAATCTCAGGATTCTTCCTACAGAAATGCACACTGTAAAATGACTACTTGAACATCTTAGAAGAAAAATTTTAAAAATGGATAAAAAGTTGCCTGTATTATTGTGGCACTTGTGAATACCATAGCAGTGAATTAGACTTTCTTCCACAGGTCACTTGTTATGGGAGCCTTCTCCACTGTGGCACATTGAAATGTGTTGGCACATCAGATTTGATGGGATACAAGTCCCAGAATTCTTAGCTAGCGGTCTGGAGGTTGCCAGGTTGAAGAAAGCTGGTTTATGATTGATCCTGATAAGTGAATTATTTGGATGCTAGATGGAGAGGAAAATTCCTCAGCTGAAACTAAATACCTAATTGTAGGTTTGTAACTAGAATGGTCATCTTTTCCTGTTGATCCTACGTTATTCGTGCCTTAACAAGCATGTAGCACAGTAACGGATATTTTTCCTGATAGTTAATTATTATTAATTATATTAATTATATCCTGATCACAGTAAAGTTCTTTACTAGCTCAATGTCCATGGATCAAGCATAGGAACAAAAGCAGTAAAAAAATGGCAGCCCTATTTATATTATATATGCTTGTCCCTACTTCAAAAATATCTGGATGTTTTAAAAATATCTTATATGAATGTCTACTTTCCCAGCAATCACCTGAATTCTTAAGGCTTATAACAGAAAATGATACTAAGAAATTATTCAAGTTGAGTATAAAATATCTTTAATAATGTATTTGGTAGTCTCAGAGCACTATAAATATCTATTGTAATCTGCGAGTTAATTTAAGTTTGAAGGTAGTCTGCCTTTTGCTTTGAAATGACATAGTGTGGCTGATTATTTCAGAATAAATTGTAAGCAATTAGAAATTGTAACAAGACAAGTTTATTTGTCAGATGTGCACTGCACTGAGCATAATACCACTGTGTGTTATTGCTGTTATTTTTTTTTTCTGTAACATGAATTTTTCCATGGGAACAGTCTACTGGCATCAGATGTTCAAGACAAACGTGTAAGTAACAAAAGAAAGTCATGGATGATAGAGTTATCAGTAACTACAGTTCTTTATGGTGGTCTCATATCTCAAGAACCATAGGAAGCACATTCTAAATAACAGCTACATGGAAGTTCCAGTGCAAGAGAACAAACATCCTCCTGTGCTGATTTTGGGTATTTTCAAGGCAGATGCTTTGCCAGTGTGCAACACACAACAATAGGGCCATCCAGATTCATCTGTACTAATTTGGAACTGGTGTTATTTCATTCTATTTATCTAGGAATCTGGAGAATTTAAGCAAAAATAAGGCAGGACTGGACTATTCTTTTACCCCCTACCCATCCAGTTATAATTGTTCTGATAGCTTTTAATATAGAATCCTGAAAATGCATCATAATCTTTAATGTGCCACTTGTGAACTGTTTTATTGTAGGATAACCAATGGCAGAAATGGAGAATTTTAATCTGTTACATTGCAAATATAGGAAATCCAAATATGAGTATAAAATTGATCTTAAATTACAAGGAACCACCACCATTGCAGCAGGTAAAAAAAAGCTTCTAAGGGCTAATGCAGGTGAGGCAGAAACCAGTAGTTCTCAGATTAGACAGAACTATTATGTACGTTTCAAGCAGATGTCTTGCTTCCTTCTCAAGGCTGGGAAGAGAATGGTGATGGCTAGAGCAGGCAAGGTCACAAGCAAAGAGCCTGAGACCAAACTGGTCTATTACAACAACAGCACATAAATACATAGATATCTCTGTTACAAAGAACAGGCAGGAGAAATATGTAAGATTTAAACCTTGGATATAGATGGCTTGAGTCTCACAGTTTGCATTCACTGGTTTCCTTCACTATCAACAGCTTCTCTAGTGTCTGCAGTAACTCTCATCTATATATGCATATATGGCATTTACCTTTTCTGCAATGAAGCATTTTACATAGTGATGACATGTCTGTGCCGTTATGTTGTAAGCAAGTTCCTGAATATAAAGTTGAGTTCTGGAAAGTTGAGATGTATTACTGTGGCTGATGTGATGTCTGATAATCCTGCATTAATTTTCTAAACTGATGCCATAATCATACCTTGTATTATTAACAATAATTGTATAAAACAGCTATAGTGAACAGCATTGATAATTGCAAGACACAATTGTAGATTTATTATTATTTATTAATTAAATATATTTATATACCAACAACAACTCTTGAATGACATAG